CCCATCCTAGCCACCATAATTTTGGATAAAACCTTGTAAACCACCGGACAAAGGCTAATAGGCCTATATTTAGCAAGAATATTAGAGTACCCCACCTTCGAAATGAGAACAATATTAGTTGCATCTAAAGCAGTATTCAAAAGGCTTCCCCCAAAATATTCCGTAGCCACTGAAGGGAAATCATCATTAACAATACCCCAAGCATTAAAAAGAAGATTACGCTAAAGCCATCAAGTCCAAGACTGCTATACTTAGGAATAGACCATAGAGAAATATTTCATCTTTTCCAACATTGGTGGCTGACATAAGGAAAAAAATTTGTTCATTGGGATGGCTAGAGTTTCGAAATCAGAATCATTATCACCCACAGAAAGTAGGCGAGATTGACAAAAGTTCCTTGAAAAACTAAAACGCATCCTCATGAATCTCTCCAGTCGATTATAGCATTGTACCATCTTCAAGGGCCATGTGATCAATAACTTGGCTCTTTTTTATTTTTTACATATGAATGAAGGAAAAAAAAATTAATGTTACCATCTACCTCTTGAAGCCATTTAACGTGTGACTTCTACCTCCAAAAAGCTTCCTCTTTTTCAAGTAAAAATCATATTGATTTTGACATTGCAAGAGCTCACTTTTGGTCTCTAGTGAGAAACGTTCAATAAGAGAGTTCTTCGAATAAATCATTTTGTCTATGATAAAGCCAATCTCTTATTGCACTCCCCTCATAAACCTCAGTATTCCATTTCCTTAAAGCATTCTTCAAGGCTTGAAGTTTACTCATAGGATAGCCAGCAACATCCATCTCTCAAATTTATTTCACAAGAGGTGGAAAACCCTTACAAGAACACCACATACATGAAAACTAAAAAGGACGAGGACATTGCAACCTCGAGTTACCCATGCAGCATAAGACCATAGAGAAATCATCAAAAAAAGTCCTATCCAAATAAGATAATAAAGCTTATGGAAATTGTCCTTAAAATTTTGATCCACTGCCAGTATCTCATTGCCAAGTCCATCTCAATCATCATTATCCACTACTAATTTTGTTCTTATTTTGTTCTTCTTTTCCAATCAGCTTTAATGTCTCTCCGACAAAGTGAAACTAGCCCACATCCACGAACACTTTCACTACTATCAATTGTCCCCACCAATTATCTCATGCCACTGCTTGTAATCACCCTAGCGAGCACAGCCACCTGCATAAAAAGTAACAAGAAAATCATGTGTTCGCCAGAAATCGAACCCTCCTCTGTCTCCAACTGAGCAAAAATATGAAACTTCCACACATATTCCAACAGAAAACAGATTGGAGCATCTCAAGTGGTCACCAACAATTGCCTACAATACCCGTACAACCACTGTGTGCATTTTTCCAATAATGAAAATCACAAATTTATGGTAAATTATCAATTGCTCGGTTTGAGCCTCAATTTTGTTACTTGAAAGCTTTACTTTCTATTTCATTTTTGTCGCCAGTCAAATTTAAAAATAAATAAATAATCGTCAACATACTAGACTGTCTTAGTGTGCTGTTAGAGACATATATAGTATTGAAAAAAATAGAAATAAAAATAAAAATGTCATATAATAACTATAGCACATCCTTCAGTGACTTTCCACTTATCAAACACAATTATTCTTCGTTTAGGAGATTTACTGAGGAGATAAATTCTTATTCTAGGCAACATGAACTCCAACTATGAGATTTTGATGGTCTCACTGGATCAAATTCATTTTTTGATTGGCTTGATAGTCTTGAAAAATTTTTTGAATTTCACAACTTAAATGACTTTCGCCGTATTTGTCATACTGATATGTTACTTGTCGAATCTATCTAGTGTTATTGGAAGCCATTTTTGTGTAATATTGATTGCCTAGGTCAATGCCCTATCACTTTGTGGATGCAATGAAATGGAGTATTAAGTAATAAATATGCCCTTATGTACTATAAAACTCAATTGTTAGATCAATACTTTTTGCATTGTAGACAAGGTACGTCCAACGTTAATAATATCTAGCACATTTCAAAAAGTTATTACACAACTGTGATATTTATGAAGCTCCTCCACATTATTGTGTATAGATTTCTCAAAGATTTGAATCCTAAAATCATACACCATGACATTCTCATGCCCCAATCCTTGGATGAAGCTTACCGTCAGTCTAACGTATGGGACATATCCTTCCATCTTCGTCAAACTTGTCATAAGTTAGATTTATCATCTCCAGTCCCAATAGCCACCTCTCAAGTCTAATTATGTTAATCTTGAAGAAGAAATTGAGGTTTTCATTGTGAAGCCATCGAATATTCCAATAGAGAAAATGAGGAATTATCTATATACTTGTCCCCTAAGTTAAACAGTCCACCGATCCTCGATTTATGTCGAATTTGTTCTTGCCTAATCTTTTGTGTGATTCTAACATTCCTTTTATATGACTTTCCCTTCACGGTGTGATACTCCTCTAATTTACACTTGCTCTAAGGTCATTGCTCGATCACACACTTTTCCTATCAACATTCGATTGTTGCCTACTAATCGTATTCATATTACTTTAGCTCCGTGCTTTGTTAATTTTCATACCGAGTTTAAAAATCAAATTATTTTATGTCATGAAATTTATGAGCTTGCATTTAACGCACTTTTTTTAGGCACAAAAGTTTTCATAATAGTTTTATGTCTTGTTGCATGTTTCTTTGACACATTTTCCAAAATGTGTAAAGAAAAAATTGAATCAATCACTTTAACTTATGCTAATTGACTGGCCATTAAACTTAAATGAAGGTTATGTTTTCAACATAGCAGCACTGTTCACTTCTCGGGGCACATACGAGCCACTAGTATTATACTCATTTGTTTCTGCAAGCCAGTCTATTGTGTTAATGGATTGTGCTACTCGTGGATTTCATGATAACTTTTGTGGATGAGTTGCACATACTGCTTATTGGGGTTCCTTATCACTCGGTCAAAAGGAAAGATCGCCCACCCTGGTTAGCTCAAATGTTTGGAATTGATATTCTGTTTTAGTTGTCGTCATTTAGCCAGTTCCACCATTTAGTTAAGAAAAAAGATCATGCTCCTCGATTAAGAAGTTGCAATTTACCTCGTCGAATTCGAGTTCTCTTAGTCAGGGAGAAATTATGGAGAATAGAAGAGATGCATGTATTAGGAAACATTATTAGGGTTTGATTTATTACCATTTATATTATTTTCTTATTTAGAATATGGTTTCTTAAACCTTATAGAAAGAGATCTTATGGCTTATGTAATGTAACTCATAACCTTTAACAATGAAATAATTAATATTTTCCTTCAATTTCTCTTTTCTCTCTCCTTTTTCTCTCTTTTTCCCCTCATTTCTGCTCGTCTCTCCTTTCTCCTTCTCCTACAATTGTTCTATTGCATTTTGCTTCACTCAGCTTGATAAATGGATGGCACCCTAATTTCAAAATGATGTGCTACTGTTCGCGAAATTATTTTTCGATTTAGACCACCGTAGGTGTACGGTTCATTAACAATTAATAGGTGGATTTTGAATCCAAATATCGTCCCACAAGAATAGATTTAGTTCAACTTTAATTAACACAATCTTAACCGAAACAAGAACAACACGAAGTGTTGTTGTGATGAAAATATAAATAAAATAGATTTACATATGCAACTATGAATGAGTTAACTAGACTAATTATGCAAATTGATGTGTTTTAATGAATGATAAACGTATTAGGATTGCGAAACCCCATGCAATGATCCCCTTTAAACTTAGTTTTATACTTTGACTACACGATTGAATATTGAAGTATAAATGTTCCCATTATATTTAAAAATCTCTTTCGAGTAATGTTAAACCTACTCTCATTTATGATCCGACTATATTTAAATGACAGATATAAACATACAAGAATGCATGAATTTTTATGAACACTTAGGGTGCGTTTGATTGCACACATTTTCCATGGAAAATGGATTTTTTCCACCTAATTTCCTACTTTTGTCTTGTTTGATTAACAATTTTTTCCAAGGAAAATATTTTCCTTGTTTTGGTCACGTGACCACATTTTCCTTAAAAACAAGGAAAATATTTGGGATAGGGTGGATTTTATTTTCCATGGAATTTAACCCTTCCAAAAATTCTAGTAACCAACCCACGTAAATATCTCTCTCTCTCATCTCTACCCACGTACCCTCTCTCTCATCCATTCAACCTGCTCTCATCGATTGAAAGGAACCAGGAAGGCGTCTCACTCTCTTATCGATTCAATCGAACTAGGAAGAAGAAATCGACGATCTACCTCCAGGGAAATCAGTGCGAAAGGTTGGCAACGAGGCGGTAACTGCATAGATTGAGGTAAGTTTAACAATCAAACCACCATATTCTTGATGATTCAGTTTTGTCGATTCTCTGTTTTTTTTTTCGATTTTGAGATTCCACGTGATTGGATGCGTATTGGAACATGAATTCCAGAATTTTTCTCATCTGTAATCACCCCCAATTCTGTTTCTGTGATGTATGAGTCATTATTTATCAATTCTGTTTCTGTGATGTATGATTCATTATTTATCAAACGCACATTATTCCAGTGATACTCTAAAGATGTTTAGGCAGTGCAATTCGGATGAATGTGTGGAAATTGGTTGCCTTTTATGAGGATTATAGGGAGAGAGAACTTGGGTTCTGCAAGGTGGAGTGTTCTGGCAACACATTTCGAACGGACCCCTCTAAAAAGCAACACGTTTTCTTTGTCTTCCGATTTTTTTTATTGAATAATTCCTCTTGAACAGCAGCATTACGGGAAACAGCTCTTCAATTTGAGATTTCCTTATCTTTAACTATTATACGAAATGAAGAGTTTTCTTAGCAAGTTCGAATCCGCTCTGCAATTGCTTCACTCCAAAACAATCAGCATACAAATCTTTTGAATCCATTTAAGCCTTCAATTCCTTTTATTTTTAATTTTCGACTCAGAAAACTGACCCATCATTTTTAAGTTTCCGATGCCGGAACATATTCTCAGACCCAAAAGACTTTCTCCTTTGGCAGGTAAAAGTTACATAACTTTAATTTATTTTTAAAAAAATAAAACATTGTTATGCCAGTTGTAGATGATGATGCATTTTATCCCGGTTTGTAATTCAATTTTATTATTTATTGGGTTATAAATGCATTTTACAAATTGGGCTTTTCCTAAATGATTTTTGGGTTTTATTAGGGTACTGAATTTTTAATTTTTTAGGTTTCTTGTTGGTATAAAGCTTATGAGCATCATTTGTGTGTGTGTGTGTGTGTATATATATATATATATATATATATATATATATATTTTTTTTTTATTTAAAATGAAACCAAAAACTCTCCATCTATTCTTTGCTTACCAGTTGAATCTGCCTGCTTTACATGGTCTCTAGCAGGAGTTGAGCAGCTAATTGCTAAGATTTGAATGAAAGTGAGTTACGGGGTTGGATTAAAATTGATCTGTTCAATAGTAATGTAATTAGAAGCACGTGTCTTAGTTGCTTGTATATTGGGTTAATGTTGGAAAATTTACTTAAGAGGTTGTAAAAGAGTTATGTGGATCAATCAAAATGGTAGTTAGACCAAAAACCATTATGACGCCTCTTCTTAACTACAATCAGGGTAAAAAAGATTAGTAATTATTGGACTGATATTGATATTAGAGAAGCTTGCATCAGAGCTATGAACTCAGATTGCCCATCATGCTGTCATGAATTCAACAACCATGTTGCTTTTAGAAACACTGCATAACTCTGTACAAATTGACTAGACGTAGATCAACTTTTGATGTTGAGTACTTTTGATTAATGTCAAATTTGTATTCAAGTTGCGCTCAAACGACTTGGTATTGGATTGTGTATACTAGGATTTTCTCGCTATTGTCACTATTGTACTACACAGTTGTTGAATTTTCTCACCAGACAACTAGTGGTTTTGGGTTAGATCCTCATAATGGACGTGTCACAGCCGATATACTAGCTTGGGAGGAGTTGTTGAAGGTACAAAATTTCATTGACCAACGAAAGTATTATTCCTTAAATATTAGTAATATAATTTATTTTGACCACTGACTAACGTAAAATATATTTCACTCTTTTTCTTGTAGGGCAAACCAGAATTTGGAAAGTGGAGGACCAAACTTTGTGCTCGTTATGATGATTTGGAGGCTATCTTTGGAAATGATTCTGCTACAGGAGATCGTGCTGTAACCGGCAATGACATTTTATCCCCCGAACATGGTACGTACTAGATCGTACATAAATATTTATATAATTCGTATTATATTAGAGATTCTAACAAATTCTTATTTTATTAATTTTTTTAGATGAAAATGTGCATGAAGTTGATGGTCAAAATGAGGATACCGAACCAAGTCCCATTCGCGCTCCTAAGCGTAACGCTGAAGGAGGAACTAACAAAGTTCGCCGTCGACGTACTCAACCTAATGATGAGAGTCTCGTTGCCCTATCAAGCATTGTCGAATCATCTAAAAAAATTGCTAATGCTATGGAGACTCAAGCAACATTAGATACACTAAACCACATCAATTGGCAGCTAGTTCTAGAAAAACTACAAGGCATGAGTATAGAAAAGAGTGAAATAATGCAAGTAATGAAAATTTTTCGATCGGATGAGAATCTGGCTAGAGTATTTATGAGTTTGACTGATGAAGAATTCATGCGTGATTTAGTATTTGAGATTTTGGGCCGTGATCCGCCTCCACTATTTTAAGATGACGTGCTTGGATAATTCAACAAACATATGTGGAAGTATGACATCTATGTTGATTTTATTTCCTATTTTCTTATGATAGAGATTTTACGAGTTTTTTCATTTTCGTTTTATGTAATACGTTGGACGAAATTTCATCATTATTTATTGAATTGATTATCTGATTATTATTTTTGATTGCAAAGAAGAATATTTAACTGGTAGTAATCTGAATTGATAGGGATAATTATTTCATCTCGACAGTGTTTATGCATCTTTCGTACCGAATCTTGGCATGTTTTTATCCATAAATTAACTGCTATATTAATTAGGATTGATTAGGATTTGGCCGAATTTATGTCTATAATTTGTTTAAGAGTTGGAACATTCATTAACAAATTTTCATGGAAAAAATTCAATATTTTCCATGGAAAAAGTGACAATTTCCATGAAAAATAGTGCTTGTCAAACAGATAAAATTGGAAAAAATTACAATTTCCATGGAAAATAATAGCTATCAAACACCTAAAGTTGGAAAATTATAATATTTTCTAGGTTGAAATTTAAGTCAATCAAACATGTGTAATTAACATTTTCCACGTAAATAATTTCCAGGCAATTGAATTACCTGGAAAATATTTTCTTTCCATGCAATTTTCCTACTTACAATCAAACGCACCCTTAAAGATTTACATAAAGCATAGCAGTATATTTTTATATCCTATCAGAGCCTATGATGATTTATACCATGTCCAACCTATTTTTCCTTCTTTCGAATGCAAAAAATAGCCACTATATTCCAAAATAATCATAGAAAAAAGAAATTTATATAAACCATTCAATACTCAAAAACGTGTTTTTAATGTCAAACATATAAAACTCAAGATTAAAAACTCATACTACATGGTTTATCGTTCTCTTAGCACATATAAATCTAGCTTAACATGGTGGAAATAAGAAAACAAAAAGAATATTAAAGAAACGACGTCACCCAATTAATTATTGAATTGAATCTTCATGTCTTTAGATCGTTCTTCGAGTTTCTAGCCTCCTTCTATGCTCTCAAAACCCTTAGGAATATATTAGAATGCGTGGTGGATACTTAGGGATGGCCCTAGGGTTTAAACACATCCCAAGATTGATTTCCATAAGAGTTTTAATCAATTAAGGAAACCAGGTTTTTCACGCCGAATTTATATTATGCTATAGCATAGTACAAATCAATGTTATTGCATAGTTCAATGGAATTTGGCCCTCAAAGTTGCTCCAACCAAGTGGAAGTTCTACTATGCGACCTCATAGTAGTGTTAACTTTCCAAAAATTGCATTTTAGTCCTTTAACTCCGTTTTCTCATCTCTTGACCTCTTTTCTTATTTCTTCTTCTTCCAACACTCCATGCCTTCACCAAATTGGTCATTAACTCTTTAACATCCTCGTTTCTGCTCTAGGATCATCTTTCGATTAATTGCATTTTATTCCCTGAACTTTGATTTTCTAACATTTTTGTCTTTTATCGTTTGTTTCTCTAATTTTCGCCACATTCATCAATGTTGTCCTACAAAATATAATTTATGCAAAATTAAGTCATATTCCAACATAATTACCGACAATTGTCCATGTTTTGAGGTCTAAATAAGTATGTAAAACGTACTTACCAACTATCTTTTATAACTCAACAATAAACGAATCTACATGAAGATTGTTGGTATCACTGTAAAAATACACCGTTGCATCTTGTATATTTTTTTTACCAAGATTGTTTATTATGAGAAGGGCATCTCTACCAAGTGTCCTGTTATTCGCAAAGAATAGAACTAGTCTCAAGCCACAGACATTGCTCATCCAGTATTATGTCCTCCAGTTGTAATGTTATGGTGATTGTAACATTTCTTGCGGTAATAATGCTAGACAATGTAAATGTAAAATTTCATTGAAACATGTTATGTTGTGAACCATTTTCCAGAGCTCTTTGTATGCAAATCCAATGTAGTTTATCCCGTTTTTGCTGATTCTAGATCTTGTACTTTAACTTTCATATTCGATTCAACTCTTGGTCTCCTGATAATGGGATTCATTATGGAAAATAAGTAAAAGCTGAGAAGTTATGTGCTCTAGACCTTAAAGGTTAATTATTAAACAATCAAATCATAATTTTCTACTCAAGTTTTTTATCTTTCGGATTGTACAAAGTTTTTGGTTAAAATTGAAAATTAAATATAATAATATCCCGTAATTAGGAACACTTTTTTGTTTTTTGTTTTTATGGGTTTTCCAATTGTTTTATATATTAGATTGAGAACCCAAATTGAAGGCCCGGGACCTATTTGCCTTGAATAAATGGAACACATTGTTTTTGGTTTTCCAATGGTTTAAACCGTTGAACATTGAGTTGCAGGGAAAGTAACGAAAGAGTGATAAAAATACTGTTAAATTTCATGGTAAATAGACGATACAATTTGGTCCGTGTGTTGGCCGTCTAACATCAGACTGATTTGCTAATCTAATCATCAAATATTCCAACAATTTAAACAAAGTCAATTCAGAAAATTGACGCAAGTGATGAATAATACTCTAATAAATCAGACTCGTAGCTCGAGTTGAGCTCCTCAAGTACATTTCCCTCCCTGTGAATCCGGTCACCCTCTCGTGACAGATTTTAGGCCATCAGAGGGGTCTAGTGTGGTGCCCACTAGCTCGACCACAAAGAAGAGCATTCCTTGGAATAGGATACTCGTCCCTCCATGAAGTCGACGGGGTGTAAACCCTTAAGTAGAATTGCTGACCCAAGTACTGCCTTGCCCAGTTCTCCGATCTTATGTTCCACATTCCCACATTGTCCAGAGGTATGTATATTGCAGTCCAAGATTTCGGGTAGACCTATAATTAGAATAACATTCTTAGTTAAACAAAAACATAACAATCTAGGTTTGCATTGCATTTTAGTGAGTCTCTTATTATCGTGTAAAGCCATTTCCACAACCTGAGTCGTACAGCGGGCAACCGTGTCTCTCAGATTGTATCCTGTCCTACTTGCAGGAGTCCACTGTCCACCATCCATTCTGTTCACAGATTTAGCAAAAAGCGAATATAACATCGTGAAAGAATAATTATGTTATTGTGAATGTGACTCATATAGAGTGGAACACGTATCTACTAGAATAAATAGGCCGAGGTCTGTGTGGAGCATAATGGAGTGTGGGGGGCATAGCGCACCGAAAAGTTACTCACCCAACAACGAAGAAAGAATATCCATCAATGTGCCAAGACTGGACAGTATCCTCCCAATTTTGGAACACAATCTCAGCAAAAGATCGATAATCAGCATGCATGACAGAAGTTGCAAGATATCCTCCATTTCCCCCAGAAGGTCTGTCGGGGATGCTTCCAACGCTGAAGACTCCTCCGATCTTGAAGTAGTCGGCCAACTTTAAGGGAGTATCTGGTGAAACATATGATACGCCGTTGACAGCATATCTCAGTTTCCCATTTATATATGGAGCAGAGTTAGCAAGAACAATGGTCCTAGAAGGCTTGATCATTCCATAGTGGTACGAGCCTTGAGGATTAGGTCTAGGTCCACTTGCTGTAAGATTCCAACTGATTTCAGAATCAACAAATTAAGTAAAATTAGAAATGATCCTTGCTTTATTAGCATCCATTAGAAGAATTTAGAGGCAATTTCAATTACCGTATTGATCTGGCCTGGTTCAAAGACAAAGCAATCTCAGTCGTGGGTCCACCAGGGGGAGGACCGAAAACTTTAGTAAATGAGTTACTGTAATGGAGAACAGCAGTGGTCGTGAGCACTTTCGAGGTGAAGCGCGAGGAAACTACAATGTAATAATCCTTTGCCGGCTGGTTGGCTGTGACCAAGACTGAATAAGACTGCCCTAAATGGATGTCAAGGGAAGAGTACGTATTCTGGAGCGTGTGAGATCCTTCTACCTCAACTAGTTTCATTGTGTGTCCTTGGATTCTGAAGTTAATGGAAGTTGTAAGTCCAACATTCGATATCCTGAACCTGTAGGTTTTGCCTGCAGAAAAATATCGAGTGGATGAGGAAAAGACACATGTATATAATAATAATAATAATAATAATAATAATAATAATAATAATAATAATAATAAGTTTAACTAGATCGCTTGTTTAAGAAATTGGGTCGCCTACTAACCTTGATCAACTGTAAATGTGTATCCATTCCATCCACGACCATTGATTAGAAGGCCATCGGGGAAGGGGAGATTGTGACCGGTATCCAAGAAGTACTTCAGTTGCTGCAAAAACAAAAGCAGCGCATAGCAAATTAGATTGCACATTAATGAGATCAAATTACTGTAAAATCTTTATGCACATTTGGTAAGGACTGGAGAGCACAGGGACACTGTTTGACAAAGAGTTTGATAAAAGTTATAGCAAATGTTGATAAAAATTGGTAAAATGCATGGTTTTAAAGTTGATAAAAGTTTTGGGTCCCATGTCGTTTGACTAGTTAAAAAGTCGACAAATTTTTGGCAATGTTTTATCAAACATGCACTAAGTAAGAAAAATAAGCTAATCGGTATGATATACCGGATAAGCACTTAGTACTAAATAAGAAAGATAAGCTACTCAATATGCATAACAAAAATATAAGCTTTATCAAAAACTTATTTTCAATCACACATTCTCCAATAAAATAATTTTACACGTAAATCGAAAACTCTTTCTACACATTCTCCAAAAAGCACTATTCCAAAATACATTTTTTCCCCAAAATGAGGCTCAAACAAGGGCTTAATGTTCCATAATATGCTTACCCTTTGATTTCTCTTGAACCAATCCCCAGCAAGGATGGCATAATCCCCAGCAGGAGGAGGGAAAGGCACTGGAATTCGAGGGCGGCTAGAAATTTTGACGCTACCATACCCTCCGGCAGCCTTATGGAGTGCAAGCGATGGAAAGTAGAAATAGGTGCCTATCTGGTCCTTCACTTGAAGGACATAAGTGAAGTTTTTCCTTGGCGGAATCGGACAGTTGGTA